TCCCCAGCAGTCAAAAGGGAGAGGGAGCGCTGGGCTTGCCTACTACCAGGGATGGGTGGGGAGGGGGAGGTTTGGCCAGCATAGCAATCAGGGGGCAAGGTCTGTATCTGCTAAATACAGTGTAACAACTAGCAGAGTGAATAGTGGGGAGGGGAAGGGGGAGGAAGCGGGGGAGAGGGGCAGGATGAGCTGCAGGAATACACAGATGCGATGCTATCTTTAGCAAATTGAGCTCAGCTCAAGTGAGCTTGTGTGCCTGCAGATGCTGTGGTCACACCTCCTGATGACAGGCAGTTTTAGCTTCTATGTCCAGCCCAGGAACTTTCCCAAGGCCTGCAAATCATGATCCAGAGACTACAACAATAAATATCCAAATGCAGTTCCCCTCGAAAGCCGGCAGTGGTAGGGGCCCCCCTCTCTGGGCCTTCTGTAAGCTTGCAAAGATTGGGGTGGGGGGGGGGGGGGAGATAAAATCTTTCACTTGGCTTCCCAGAGCTCTGGGCTGTGGCATGGGTGGGTGGAGGAACCCGATATGCTGGGCACAGTGGCTGCTCTCCAGCACTTCCTGCTTCCTGCAGGAGTGCTAAGGAAGTAGAGGGGTAGTTCAGGGTAGTCCCTGGGGAGGGTGTAGAGGTTTGTGTTGCTTCTCTCTGCAGCTTGGGGGAGTAGACAGAGCCCCTTAGTCACCCCCTCCTGCTCTCCCAGCCCGTGACCTAATTGCCTCCCTTATTGCACAAAGGACCGAGCTGTCTGAGCCACCCAAGCTCTGTTGCGGGGTCTGCATCTCCCCCTGGCTTTCCTATCACCCCCTCGGCTGACCAACCAGGTAGGAATTAGGTCTCAGGACTGGCAAAGCAGCACCTCCCCTCCCCCCGTCCTTATTAAGGCTCACTGGGCCCAGGAGGCAGAAGCACAGTGTTGTATTATAAATGACAAAGGCGTGTGTGTGTGTGTGTGAGTGTGTGTGTGTGTGTGGTGCCCTCCGGTGTTCTGGGGGTGCCAATCTCCTGTCCAGCCCCTGCTCTGGAGCGGCAGTTGCTCAGTTGGGAAAGGAGCAGGTGACGATCACCCTCCAGCATGACTTCCTCCCCCCTCCCCAAGACCCATAGCCAAAGCCCTTTAAACAGGTAAGGTGGGTTTGGAGCAAGACGAATATGGTGGAGGGGCAGTGTGGTGTTGCCCTCTAGTGGTGAACAAATGACCAGACTCCTGTTCTCTAAGGGCATGCCTACACTAGAAAATTACAGGCAGTCCCCGGGTTACGTACAAGATAGGGACTGTAGGTTTGTTCTAAAGTTGAATCTGTATGTAAGTCGGAACTGGCATCCAGATTCAGCCGCTGCTGATCAGTCAGGACTCCTGGGGCAGAGCAGCTGGGGTGCTGCCGGGTTGGTCCAGTAGCACCAAGGAGCGGTGCTGCGGGACCAACCGGCAGCGCCCCACCTGCTCTACCGCAGGCCCCGGGCTTTGCTCCACGTCTCCCTGGTCTGATTGGGGGGGCGGGGCACTAGCTGCGTCCCCCCCCCCTCCAGCAGACCAGGGAGACGGAGCAAAGCGGCGGAGGACCCGAGCCGGACCGCGGCGCTTCCAGATCAGCGCCGCGGTCCGGCCCGGGTCCTCTGCGGCTTTGCTCAGCGTCTCCCTGGTCTGCTGGCTCCCCCAGCAGACCAGGGAGACGGGGAGCAGCTTTTCTCGCCCCGGAGGAGGCGGGCGGCGGGACCAGGCATCCTGCCGCTCCAGTCCTCCGGGGCGAGAAAATCCCGTTCATAACTGCGAATCCGACTTACGTCGGATCCGCGAAACTCGGGGACTGCCTGTATTTCAAAACAACTCCTCAAATAATAATTTCAGAATGGCATGTCCACGCTAGAGGGAAGCCTTGAAATTAGTCTGAGGCAGGCTCCCTTCATGTGGACATGCTACCTTGACTTAGAGCCCCAGGAAGTGCTGGGGAGTAATTACTTTGACTCTGGGGAGTAGTTATTTCAAAATAGCAGCAATAGCGCCTCCACACTACTGCTATTTCAAGATGATCATTATTCCTCGTGGAAGGCAGGAGTTATTCTTTCGAAATTAGCAGGCTTGGTAGTGTGGACAGGCTGCTTGTTTTGAAATAAGGAGTGTTATTTTGAAATAACTCTGAAGTGTAGACCAGGGCTAAGGATCAGTTTCCTAGACCTGGAGGGGAATTGGGTGGTGTTGGCATGGAATGTGAGGTCCCATTGTCTCTCCAGAGCTGAGCCAGTGATTGAGGTGTTGGTGACCTGGCATCTGTCCCTCTAGGGCAAGGGGTCAGCAACCTTTTCAAACCAAAGAGCCTAACTAATGTGATGCCAATATTTAAAAAGGGCTCTAGAGGTGATCCTGGCAATTACAGACTGATAAGTCTGAAATCAGTACTGGGCAAGTTAGTTGAAACTATAGTAAAGAACAGAAGTGACACACAGATGAGCATAATTTGTTGGGGGAAAGTCAACATGGTTTCTGTAAGAAATCATGCCTTATTAATATACTACAGTTCTTTGAGGAGGTCAGAAAACATGTGGACAAGGGGGAATCCAGTGGATATAGTGTACTTAGATTTCCAAAAAGCCTTTGACAAGGTCCCTCCCCAAAGGCTCTTAAGTAAAGTAAGTTGTCATGGGATAAGAGGGAAGGTCCTTTCATGGATTGATAACTGGCTAAAAGACCGGAAATAAAGGGTAGGAATAAATAGTCAGTTTTCAGAGTGGAGAGAGGTAACTAGTGGGATCTGTGCTGGGAGCAATCTTGTTCAACTTATTTATAGATGATCTAGAGAAAGGGGTAAACTGTGAGGTGGCAAAATTTGCAGATGATACCAAACTTTACAAGATAGTTAAGACCAAAGCAGATTGTGAAGAGCTTCAAAAAGATCTTGCCAAATGAAAGGATTGGGCAACAAAATGGCAAATGAAATTTAATGTTGATAAATGTAAAATAATGCACATTGGAAAAAATAATCCCAACTGTGTATACAATATGATGGGGACTAACTTAGCTACAACTACTCGAGAGAGATCTTGGAGTCATTGTGGATGAGTCTCTGAAAATATCCACTCAATGTGCAGCAGCCAAAAAAGCAAATAGAATGTTAGGAAGCATTAAAAAAAGGGATAGAGAATAAGAGAGAATTTTATTGCCTCTCTATCAAACCATGGCACGCTCACATCTTGAATACTGTGGTGGTGCCCTGCAGTTGCTTCATCTCAAAAAAGAGAGATTGGAAAAGGTTCAGAAAAGGGCAACAAAAATTATTAGAGTTTGGAACAGGTACCATATGAAGAGAGATTAAAAAGACTTGGACTTTTCAGCTCAGAAAAGAGGAGACCAAGAGGGGATCTGATAGAGGTCTATAAAATCATGACTGGAGTGGAAAAAATGAATAAGGAAATTATTTACCTGTTCCCACAATATAAGATCTAGGGGTCACCAAATTAATAGGCAGCAGGTTTAAAACAAACAAAATGAAGGTTTTCTTCACTCAGTGCACAGTCAGCCTGTGGAACTCCTTGACAGAGGATGAGGTGAAAGGTAGGATTTTAACAGGGTTCAAAGAAGAGCTAGATTGATTCATGACAGTTGGGTCCATCAATGGCTATTAGCCAGGATGGGTAGGAATTGTGTCCCTAGCCTCTGTTTGTCTGCAAATGGGAGACAGGGGAGGGATCGCGTGAGGATTATCTGTTGTTCCCTCCTTCAGGGGTATCTGGTATTGGCCAGTGTCAGACAGGATACTTGGCTAGATGGACTCTTAGTCTGACCCAGTAAGGCCGTTCTTAACTACAAATTTCTGAACAGTGGTCATCAGAGCCATGTAAGAATGCTCATTTGCATAACTGAAAATGTACAACTTGATATTATTGGTAATTGACATGATGATTAATTATGAAACATTGTACACTCAGACTTTATTTAGTGGGATGGCTACTGCTGCATCTTTTGCACATTTCTTTGAAGTTTACATCATAACTGGTGACATTCAGGTTCATGCACGCATTCAAGCTACATGAGTAATTATGTGGGTTTTTTTAAATTTTTGAATTTTAATTTTAAAAGTTGCATGCATTTTTGGGACTGACAAACGAGCCATATTTGGTTCCATACTGAGCCATAGGTTGCAGACCCCTGCTCTAGGATAAAGTGCAGAGAGGGTGAGGAAGTGGTAGCCAACGGCACTCGGTACAGTACAAGCTTTCTAGAATGAAGGCATTGAAAGGCCCTGTATGTGTCCTTTCCTGAGTCCCTTGCAATTCCTAGGCTAGAGCATGCTTGGATGCATTTCTGTCCAGAGATGACTTTAAACTCGTGTGCCCTGGGTCTCTGATGAAGTAGTTCCGTCACCACCCTACCTCCCCACGCCTGCCGGATGCTCCCTAGGCAGAAAGTGGGTTAAACCAGGGGTGGGGGACCTCTTTTGGGTTGGGAGCCACTGACCCACAGAAAAAATGCCCTAAAACAAACACATACACCCTCACTGATGTAGCCCCCATATAAGGAGAGACTCCTCACATTCCCCTTGCACACCAGAGCCTAGGGGAGCTCAGTCTAGTAGTTTTTGTGTGTTTCCAGCCCCGCCATGGGACAGCAGGGAGGCGGGAGCGAGGGGGGCCTGAGCCTCGAGAGCCACATACAAGCAAACAGGAGGGCTGCATCTAGCCCCTGGGTCTGAAGTTCCCCACCCTGGGGCTAAACTGACGTGATTTTGTTTTTTCTTCTACCCCTTCTCCTGACTATTTATTAACTTTCTTTTGTGTCTTGCTGTCTGAGCCCTGGGTGTGCTCAGGCCAGCTGCCACACCCTCCTGGCTAGGCAGCACTCCCCCGTCTTGGGGAGGAAGGAGGCTGGCTGGGTGTAAAGCAGAGGACCCGGGAAAGGTCCGGTGTCTCCTGCCTGATGGCTGGGGAACTGACTGGCTGCACTGCTGCCAGTTACACAGCACTGGAGAAAGCTGGGCTCAGCAGGCTGCTGCAGCCAGGGAATGGGCCATGACCTTTTCCCAGCTCAGCACAGTGAGCACAGAGCTGACAGGCACTGAAGCTTCTGGACCCAGCCAGCACACTTTTCTCTGGGCTGCACAGCAGCAAAACAAAGCCCTGAGGCTTGTGATCCACCTTCGGGGTGGAGGGCATGGGGCTGGGATTGTGGGGTTTGACGGAGATGTCCTTCCGGGACCAATCTGAGGGATGTCTGGGAGCCAGATCATTATGACGCTGTGCAAAGCATACTGGGCAGGGCAGGCCTGTTCTGGGGAAGAGGCAGCATCTGATGGTGTCCAGCTGTCCCCTTCCCTCTGGGTAAGGAATCCTTCTGTCTTTCCCCACAGTGTGTCTGCTCTCCAAGGTCTTTGCTGGGACCCCACTGTTGGCTGAAGCCACGTTGCGTTGGCTGGCTTGCTGGGCGAGTGGGGGGAGGCTTTAAATAGCTCAGCTGCAGGATTTGTGAGCCTAGCTTTGCCTCCTGTGATGCAAACACCTGAAGTTAGGAGCAGGGGGCTTAGGGGGAGAGTGACGTGTTGAGATGGGGATCCAGACCTTGTGTAGCAGCAGGAGGAAACAAGCTAAAATCTTGCTGTTGGAGGCTGATAGGGAGTAGCTTGAAGTCTCTTGGGGGCTAACCAGGCGGTGAATGCCACAGCTATGGCATACTGGCCCTTTCTAGCCAGGAGAGTAAGTGGAATTTGAATCTGGGGGTCTTGTGCACCAGAAGAGCACTTGCCTCCGAGCTGGCTTTATCCCATGGTCATTTGACCACCCTGCGTGGGCCTGCAGATTAGGATTGTATGCCTGTGTGCACAAGAGGCAGGGTGGCCTAGTAGCTAGTGCAAAGGTATTCTGTTCTGGGGTCTCCCACTTGCTCATCCTACCCACTTGCTTCTGTTACATGGATTGGTGTGAAAGCTTGGAAACCGAAGTCTCAGAGGGGTAGCTGTGTTAGTTTGTTCTAACCCTTTTGTGGGTCAAAACTAGGGATGTTAAAATTAGACTTATCAATCGAATAGTAGATGGAATTTCCATCACCTATTCGATTAGTCAATAAGGGCGCTTCTGCTTTGAAATGTAGCAAGAACCCACCCAGCTGTGCTACGTTTCGAAGAAATGCTTCCTGGTGTTCTGTCTTTGATGTGTACAAGAGCTCTTGTGCATTTCAAAGATTGAAACACAGCCTAGAGGCCTCTTGCACATTTCAAAAGTGGAATGCTGCTGCTGCACTCCTGCCCCTCCCACAGAGCTGGGGAAACCAGCTTTTAAGCCCATTCCCCCAGCACTCCCTCCTCTTCCCCCTACCCTTGCTGCCTCCCTCTAATAGAGGCAGCAAGGGGGCGGGGGGAGCGACTAGTCAACTAGTGTGACTATCCAATAAGCTTTTGTTTATCCGACAGTCGATTAGTCACATCCTAGTCGAAACCACTTCATCAGATGCATGAAGTGGAAATCAGAGGTAAGGAGATATTCTGTCCTAATTTGATAGCCACCTTCAAGTCCTTACACAAATTTAATGCTGTCTCACTGCAAAGGCTCCCTCTCTTGATGGGGAGGGAGGTGTGAATACCAACTGCTGGGAGTGAGCCACATCCACCCTGTTTGCTTTGGCCTCTTTAACACTGGCCCTATCCTTGATAAGCAACTCCCCTCCCTCTGATATGCTTATCTGTGTGTAACATCATCACTGCCTCTTTGATTTCCACTCCATGCATCTAAGTAGCTTTGACCCACGAAAGCTTATGCCCAGACAAATCTGAGCGCCTTTAAGGAGCCACAGGCCTCTCCATTGTTTTATAGGGCCTCAGTTCTAGGAACAGTCTCAGGAGAGATCCGGTCTCCATCTTACTGATATCAGAAGAGATGTTGTGGCCTCGTTTGCTAGCCCTTGTAATGCAGTCTGTGAGCGGTAGCCGTGGCTGTGGTCTCTGGTCCGTAGCTGGATCTACAGCGAGGACTGAGTTGGTGAACCAACGTAGGTCCTGGTATCAGTGGCCATGCCTTCCTCTCTCCTCTGAAGTCAGGCTGCTTTGCCTGAAGTCTTGCACTCAGGCCCGTATGCAGGGTGTGTGCGTGAAGGGTGAAACCCCTCCCCCTGCACAGCTCCCCAAATAAGCATAAGTGGGCTCCAGGGCTCAAACTCAGCCCCTGCCCTGTTGCAGGGAGCCCTTGCAGGCGCTCCAGCCTTGTCTCCCCCTCCCTCCATGATGTTGAAGGGCTAGGGTCGGCTTCCCACTCGAGTGCCTTTCTTGCTGGTTAAATTAAACAGTTCTTCCCTAGCTGCAGCACTGGCAAAATGGCTTGGGTGTAATTAGGTAATTAACAGAGTTTCCATTAGCAACTGGTGGTCCATGGAAAGGCTTGCATTGGGCCAGGAGGACCTAAGGCAAAAATGTTTGAGAACCACTGTTAGGGGGATGGGAGAGCACTGTTGCAGGGGGATGACTGGCAGGGGCCAGGGAACAGTGCCCTCCGGCATATAGATATAGTGGTGTCTCCTAGGAGACTTTGTAAAGCCTTTTGAGAGCTCAGGAGTTGGAAGAAACCAAACTCCTGTAACTCCCTGGGCACTGACTGTTGCCTACTCCTCCAAATGGAGGCCAGGCTGAATGGCGCCTTCTAGCGCCTTGCTCAGCAAGAGACTTCTCCTGAGATTCCATGTGCTAGCCCAGAGGAGACTGCCTGCCTTACAAATGCGTATTGCTACTTCCTGCCTGGCTCTGGGGGGTAGCACACACTATGCCACGGACGCCAGGGTCCCAGCACTCCATACAAAACCGCAGTGTGTATCATGCAAATTGCAAGGGTCTGTGGCAGCCCTGGTGCCTTGGAGCCTGCTGTGCACGGCAAAAGGAGGATTAACCTCCTTTTGGGACTGATCAGCTGGAGCCTGTGAACTAGACAGGAAGATTATGGGCCATGGAGGATTTCTTTCCAAATGTCCTTGCTAATGAAAAACAGGAGCTGCATGATTGGAGTGCATTAGTGCCTAATGAAAGTGGCCTTCCAAAGCCAAACCAACTAAATAGCTCTTAACTGCTCATTACTCGCCGCACAGTCTAGTCCACTCAGTCAGAATGGCGGCTTCTGTCATGTGCTCCAGGGAGCTAAATGACTGTGAATGACAATGGCTGCTGAGAAATTGTTAAAATGTTCCCAGTTAAGCACCTCAGATTCATCTCCACCTGTACACAGTGACTCTGAAGTTGTACCAGATCAGAGTGGGGAGGACTGAGCTGCTGTGACTTACTATAGAGTGCTACTCTGGATATGTGCTGCCTCTCTTCCATGGCCTCTCTTTCTAACTTGAGTAGCTCCATGCTTGATGCAGAAGGCTGTCCACCAGGGACAGTGTCCCAGCTAAGATGATGTACAGAGGGACTGATGACTTTTTGAATGGGATTCAAGGCCTCTGGAATGGCAAATGTTAATCCACGTAAAAGTGAAATGGATCATACTGATTAACATGCAATTGAAAAAGAACACCTGCTATTTGCTTTTGAAACAAGACTCGAGTGATCGGGAGAACTGTAACATTAATGATAATCATCAAGAGTTCTGCAGGGATATTTGGTGACTGGCTTGCATGGTGGCAGACCCTCTAGGAGTAGAGCTGATGCATTCAGGTGCTGTACGGAGTTGCCAGTTCTCACTATTTTATCCCTAGTCTTGTGTTATCTGTTCTTAAAAGTCCTGGTTCCTGGAACTATACAAGATCCTCAGATCAACTTTTTTTTTTTTTTTTTTTAAATCCACTTTCCACCCCTCACAATTGCAAGGAAAGCTTTAACACACAGGTAACCAAGAACCCTTTCTAATTCTTTTTAAACCTGCTTTCATGGTCAGGATGCGTGTGTGTGTGACTCATGCGTTTTGAGTGTGTGCAATAGGCAGTTTGTTGCTTTTCTTATGCTGAGGTTCCTCCATCTTCCCAAAGAGGCATGCCATAAATACTGGCTACGTCTTCACTGCAGTGTTCTAGCGCAAGAAGTCTGTAGCGCTAGTTTTTTGGCACAAAGGCTTTTTATGCAAGACCACGTCCACACATCAAAGCACCTCCCTGTTGTGAGGCTCTTTTGCGCAAGAGAGCATCTACACTGTTGGTCCAATTGACCTTAATGGCATCCCATTCAAACCTGAATATAGAAGACACTGGTAGGAGTATGAAGCCAGGTTACAAAACAACCTTGTTAGTCAACCTAGCAACCTCTGCGATGGATAGGAGGAGTGCTGGCCTTTTCTGAATGTTCCAGTATTCAGTAACCAAAGGGTTAAACCCAGGTAGCTAGCAAGTGTTGGCAGGAAGCCAGGAGAATCAATAAGAAGAAAGTATGAGATTTGAATTGAAAAGGATACCTGCATGCTGCTACTCTTTGAGAGTTTTAAGCCAGGAATTGGGGGAACAAGATGAATTGAACTAGGCGGAACTACCATGCCTACAAAATACTGGGCATGGAAATGGACTGCACTTTGAAGCACAGATCTATGATTAGGTAGGGAATGGGATATCTGTTTAGATGCGATCAGGTGACTTTGTTTGTTTGGTTAAACATCGATGTGTTAAGTCCACGTGTCTCTCCTCCCCCCATACACTGTACTTTAAGCTGTATTTCAGGGATGGAATTTCTCTGTTTCTGATTTCTTTTCTCAGTTGCTCTAAAACACCTAGCAACGAAATGCACTTGATAAAGCATATCTCTTCATTTTGTGAACAAATCTCCTTAAAGTGATTTTAATTCTTGTCCTGGAAAGTAAAAAGAGGTCTGTGTATGCATGACTAAGACTGAAAGGTCAGCTAGCAGAGAGTGCCATTTTTCTTTCCCCCAAGCTCTCCTGTGGTTAAAAGCTTGGGGGTACGTACCCCTCTGGAAGAAGTGCAAATGCTTTCTTCCTGGGTTCAAGAATAAAGGGTTTTTTGTTTGTTTCACTTGAGTGGTGGTAGCTACCTCCAAAGGCCAGGGAATCTGTGATTTTTGGGGAGTTTTTAAGCAGAAGCCTATAGAGGCAAGGTATTTAAGGTTTCTTGTGGGCCCAGCCTTCTGCACTCAGAGTGCGGACCAGCTTTGACTGTTCCCAACAAGCAAAAGACAACACCCCATGGGACATGCCACTTATCCACTCAGGTGATACTGCTTAGCAAAGAAGAGAGTGCAAAAAATCCCTCCTCAGGTCTGTACAGTGGTTCTCTCTTCTGCTCTTGTTACAGGCCTGGGTCTCCCAAAAGAAAAGCACAGGATCAGAGCTGAGATCTGCCATGTAGAAGTGAGGAAAATTCTGACCAAGTAAAGAATTCTTGCAGAATAGCTGACCTGTAAGTTAAGCGGTGGCAGCAAACTCTGACAATGCTCAGTTGAGTGGTGGTTACTTGAATTACTAGGATGCCACATAGGAGCTCTAACTCTAGTTGGCCTAGGTCTTTGTAGCTGATCATGGCTCCTCGATGCTAATGCGAAGCCCTTCTAAAGCACTCAGGGTTTTCTGGCTTCCCCACAGAGGAGCACCTCCTTCCCTAGGGCATTCTTCTGTACATCCTGTCCCCGTTCACAGTGCATGTGCCCACTGCTGGCAAGGGCCCTGGCCTACCAGGAGAGCCCCTGCCATAGGGAGTGGGCTGAAGACCTCTCTGATGTTAAAGGGTGTGTACAGGGACTTCTCTTCGAGTGATCAGAGAGAAGACACATTTTTTTCCCCTCCCTCCCCTTGGAAACACCCCCTCTGGGAGGGTTGTAAGCAGCATGGATTTAGTAGGGAAGCCTGTTGGAGCAGAGCACAAAGTCAAAGGTCTGGGCTCTGATTTTTGCTTTGGCTCACTGTGGCCTTGAGCAAGCCTCCTCAGTCTCTCTGTCTCCATTGGGTTCATGGAGATAATACTTAACTTACCCCATGGGGGAAAGAGGGCTGCATGAATGGCTGCAACATGGTGCCGTCACAGCAATGTTGCAAGAAGAGTGGACCAGTTAAGCTGGACTCCTTAACACAAGGCAAAAAAGAGGGGACAGGGAAGAAATAAGGTGGGGAAGAGAAATGATAAATGGGGGCAGGGGAAGTGGGGAACTGAGACTTGCTTTCCAGGTGTTAAGGATTTTGCCAAAGCTGGTGTCATTGGTTCCCTCTCTGTGGAATGGTCTGGTCGGGATGCCCAGGACAATGAAGGCCCGACAGTGTTATAGGGGAGTCCAGGTTGCAGAAAGCAGTAGGGAGAGCAGCTATCCTGGTCAATCTCAGCCCTTGCTCCCCCCACCCATGGCACCATTTCCCCCAACTCTCTCCCTAGAAACCTAAAACATAGGCATGGGATGGCATCGCTCCCCCTCCCCTCTGCTATTTTTGTCTACCTCTTAGACCTAGTTTCCAAGGAGCAATTCTGATCCGTTAGTTTGTGTCCATTTGCCTCTTGCCTAATTTTAACTTCATGGGTGATCTCAAAAGACCTCGCTTGTCCAGACTAATCCAGTATTGTGGCTCCAAAGCTTGCTGACCCTATTTATTTATTTATTTTAAAAAAGGGCTTTTGTTGACTGTTCTGCCTTGGGCAGCTTGGTGTACAGGCCTCTTCGTGACAGGTCCCACCCAGCCAGCTGAATCTCTCCCTGCTTCCCTTGGTTGCAGTCTCAGACCATGAACTACGTGGGGCAGCTGGCTGAGACAGTGCTCATCACCGTGAAGGAGCTGTACAAGGGCTTGAACCCAGCCACCCTGACGGGATGCATCGATGTCATCGTGGTGAGGCAGCCGGACGGCTCTTTCCAGTGCTCACCTTTCCACGTGCGCTTTGGGAAGCTGGGAGTCCTGCGCTCCAGGGAGAAGGTGGTAAGTGATGCCTGCCAGGACCGGGTGTGTGCTGCTTGTGCTAGGGAGCTGTGGTGCCTGCCTGCTTACCTCCTCTCCTTTTTCTTCCATTCCAGTTCTTCCTGAAACAAAGCTCATTGAAGCTGGCTTGAGGGTGGGAGTTGAGGTCAGGACCCTCTGCCAGGGTTGTCACACAGAGTGCATTGTGAAATGCAACTCTCTTTCCCCCCCCCCCCCCCCACCCACAATGAACAAATACTGAGGGAATGACTAAACTAGCATTTACAAATATGCTAGTTAATGCAAATTAATTTACAGTCAGTTACTTCAGATTAAAACTAGACCACAAATCACAGTCTACAGACCCATGCTGTCCAACATGCTAGCCACATGTAGCTATTTGGCTGGTTGAGTGTGGCTAGTTGGTTGGACACCACAGTCTAAGCAGTTAGAGTGTGAAGTAGAAAATACATGGAGGTTCTTATTGGAGTAAATCCATAAAAGGGATGTAAAATCCCGATTAATCGGGTAACAAGTTAAATGTTACATTTAACCAATTAACAGATTAAATAGGGATGGGCAGGGGAGCTACTCCAGTATTCTAAAAGTAGTATTGTTAGTGAAAAAAGTTGTGGATCCTAGAGTCTAAAATTTATTTCCTTTCATATTGAATATGGGATGGTTTACTAAAAGCCAAGGGAGTATGGGGACCGAAAAAGGTTGAGAACCCCGATCTAGACCATCCCTAATGGGTGTTTGTCTAGCCTGCTCTTAACTTCCAGTGATGGAGATTCCACAACCTCCCTAGGCAACTTATTCCAGTTCTTAACCACCCTGACCAGTTAAGTTTTCTTAATGTCCAACCTTAAACCACCTTTGCTGCAATTTAAGCCCATTGCTTCTTGTATCTTTAGGTGTTAAGGAGGATAATTTTTCTCTCTCTCCTTTACCACTCTTTTAGGTTCTTGAAAGCAGTTATGTCCACTCTGTCTTCACTTTTCTAGACTAAACAAACCCAGTTATTTTAATCTTCCCTCACAGGTCATGATTTCTAGACTTAGTCATCTTTGTTGCTCCTCTTCGAGCTTTCTTCAGTTTGTCCACATCTTTCCTGAAATGTGGTGCCCAGAACTGCATACAGTACTCAAGCTGAGGCCTGATCGGTGCAGAGTAGAATGAAAAATTACTTGCATCCCCCAATGATGTTTAGGAGTGTTTGGGTTTTTTGTTTTGTCTGTTCTTTGTTTTTGTACTCCTGTTGCATTTTGCTTGTTCGCCACTGACTCAGATTCCTTTCCATAGTATTCCTTCCTAGGCAGTAATTTCCCATTTTGCATGTATGCAACTGATTAAGTGAATTTCTGCATTTCTCCTTATCGAATTTCAGTCTGTTTACTTCAGACCATTGCTCTAGTTTGTCTAGATCATTTTGAATTTTAACCCTATCCTTCAAACCACTTGCAACCCCTTTCAGCTTGGCATCATCCACAAATTTTATAAGTGTACACTCTATGCTGTTATCTATATTGTTGAAGATATTGAACTGATCCCTGCAGAACTCCACTTGTTATGCCCTTCATTGATAACTACTTTCTGGGAATAGGTATCCAGCCAGTTATGCATCCACCTTTATAATAGCTCTATCTAGGCTGTATTTCTCTAGTTTGTTAGTCTCATTTGATTTGTTCATTATCAAAAGCCTTTCTAAAGTCTAGATGTACCACATCTACCACTTCCCCCTCTAATCCCAAGACTTGTTACTCAGCCAAAGAAAGCTATCTGGTTTCTTTGACATGATTTGTTCTTGACAAATCCATGCTCTGTATTACTTATTTGCTCCATTATCTTTCCTGGTACAGAAGTTAAGCTGACTAGTCTGTAGTTTCCTGGGTTGTCCTTACTTCCCTTTTTATATCTGGGCTCTGTTTGTCCTTTTCCAGTCTTCTGGAACCTCTCTGGTCTTCTATGAGTTTCTAAGCTAATGGCTTAGACCTCTCCTGAGGTCTCTTCCAGCTCCAAGGTAATAAAGTCCAGCACCCTGCCCAAGGCAGGACCAATCCCAACTGCTCTTTGAGTTAGCTCTTTGAGGATTTGAGGATGTATTTCATTGGGCCCTGGTGACTTGAAAGCTTTTTCACTCAGAGGGTCAGCCTCCCTATCAGCCCACTAGTGGCTTTCTCTCCTGTTTCTTTCAAAATACTGTTTCCAAAAGACCCCCACTCTAACTGGCATTGACTGTTAGGTATCCAATTGCCACCAACCTTCTTGGTGAAAACCAAAATCAAGTCATTTAAGTATCTTTGCTATTTCCATGGTTTTTTTTTTTTTAATTGGGTTTTTTCCCCTCCCCCTGTTCATTGAGTAATGGCCCTACTCTGTCCTTAGTCATTCTCTTGCTTATAATGTAATGTATTTGTTTTCTTCTTAACCTTTATATCTCTAGCTAGTTTGATCTCTGAAATTGGAGCATCCTCCACAGGAAGTTTGGGAGAGACTGTGCCTCTCTCATTAAGACATAAGAGGACTTTTTTTATCCCTAACTTACCCAGTGGTAGGTAGAAGTGAAACATGGCTGCAGTTGGGGAGGAGCTGTGAGGGGCAGGGGGACAAGAAGCCCCTTGAGATAGGATGCTCCTTTTTCTAGTTGTTGGGGCTTTGCCAAGCAAAATCTATCCTCCTCCAAACCAAAGTGGTACCTGCAGCCTTCCTAATTGTCAAGGGGTTTAGGAGATCACTATGGTAGTATGGAAGGCGGTCCCCAGGGAAGATGTGAGTTGGATGGGTCCCCCTTCCTTGTGTATGACTTTGTTGCTAGGGAATGGCTGGGTGAGTAGACTGCTATGGATTCAAAGCTGTGCCTTCCCTCTCTACCCCCATCCTTGTCAGGTTGACATAGAAATCAACGGGGAGCCAGTGGACCTGCACATGAAGCTGGGAGACAATGGCGAGGCCTTCTTCGTTCAGGAGTCGGAAGGGAATGAAGTAAGCCACGTTCTATAGCTGGGAAGAGGTGAATGTACCCCGCTGAGGGCCCCTGAAATGGTTTCTGTACCTCTTGTCAACTGGCTTGCTTTTTTTCCTAACTCTTCCTGACTTGGTGTTACCATGAGGGAGAGGACAAGTAGGCTCAGATTGCTGCTGTTCTCCACCAGGGTGGTGCTGAACAGCAGTCAGCCCTCTGGCTGCTACACCATGTGGGTGATACTTACTGTATGTGGCTCAAAAGGCCCAACGCATGGGAGGATCCCCATGCCAAGGAGCTTATGATGCAATGAAGTCGAGGTCAGGGCTGGAGCATCTCAGGGGCCTCGCTAAACTGCACAGTAATTAGCCTCCCCCCCTCCTTGAGGATTTATCAATGGTCAGACCAGAGAGGTGGTCTTGAGTCTTGGTGCCTCTGCTGTGACCGGCAACGCACAGGGTCTTGAG